ACGCTAAAGGAACGGTTTGTGTTTGCTGAGTTAATAAATGCGTTGGTATTGTAATACACCAGTGAATTTTATTTAATTTTATAAATTCATCAGTGCTTTTATTTAAAAGAAAATGTTTGTTTTTCAGCAGTTTTTCCACTTCTGAGAAGACGTTTCTGTTAACCTAACCAAGACCAATTGCCTAAATGTCCACAGAGAAACACTATTAACCAAACAAATCCCTTATTTCTGTCAGAATACCCTGTTTCGCATTTAGAAATGCATTGCAGATGCATGTTGTCCTTGGCATTCACTTTTTGCCACATTTAGCCTATTCCAAGTTGAAGTTCTCAATAACGTAACAGTGCACTGTGCCAGGCTCATATTAAGTGTTGTGTATTCATTCTGAGATTGAATTTCCAACCCTGTGTGATTCTGAACCAGAGTTTTATTAGTCCTTGATGTAAAATATGAACCGCTCTTTACTGTTTTTCCGTGAATTACCGCCAAGTTGGATCGTTCCTCTCTATGTGAGACAGGCGTTCACGGCTGTTCATGGACTCCAGCATGTGTTCAGGGGATCTTCATTTCATTCTGTTGAACTTTCCCTATACATATTTTTGAAAACAACATGCACTAATGAATCATTCACATTAAGACCAGGAACATGCATTAAGAAAGCAACCAAAGTCATTTTTATTGGCAGATCGGAGCATCTCATCTGGATAAGTGTTTTCCACCAAAGTTGTCAAAATCGGTGATATTTTCAGACAGCAAATCTGGTGTTTGTTTGCTCACATATCCTGGGCAAACGTCCCTCTATTCATCTCACACTGGACCACCAGAACCATGACAGTAACTGTGTTTCCATGGTCATTATGACATTGTTCAGGGTTTCGTCTTTCTGACCCGTTCCTCCAGTCGTTTGTGGGCTGATCTCCAAGCCCAGCTCTCATCTGATCTGTCTTGAGTCTTGAGACTTTCTCCCACTCAGCTGTCTCAAGCACGGCTGGAATGAAAGCACGGATAACTCAGACATGACTCTGAGTGTGTGTGACGGGTTATTATTAACAGCACTGACCTGACGCAGAAACGGTCTTTCTCAGTGTCTCTGTGGTTTGCGGGGTCTCTGCTGGAAGCCAGTAAAATCATTACAACTTGAATTGTTTGTTAACAGTGCGCTGCTGTTTGGCCTTAACCCAAGGAAAACCAACGACAGCTTGCGAAGTCATGCATATCAAACCAAACATGTTTTATTTCATGATTGATAACTATCAGTATCAGCCTGTTTATTTTTATGGTGTAGGCCTATTAATTTGTTTCCAATTAAAAACCGTCTTGTATCCCAGTTTTAATAGACTAGAGACATTAGGTTGGCTTGACACTGTGACTATGTGGTAAATATGCATACTGAGCATCTTCTGTATATTAACAATGTGCTGTCATGAACATTTGTCAAAATGTGCAGTACACAACCAGAATGCATTGCATGCAGTACTGTATACCACAATGCAGCGCTCAACTTGACTTTTTTTTATTATGCATTTGGAAAAATCAGTCTGTAAAAAATATTTCTATATTGGTGCATCGCTATTGGTTTGCACAACATTTTGTGTGAGTGGCCTTTAACCGTTATCCAAGAGAGATTTTTGTGCACTCACCTTTTTAATGTAAGAGCGGCGGGGCAATTTGTAACTTGAATGTGCGAGGCTTCCGGTGTCATACGCTTCCGGTTATTTTAGCTGTGCCTAAAATATATTCTTTGGTTATACATAAAGATTCCGTTATGATTTGTTGTATTATTTTAATTTATTGAGACCTCAGGTCAGCTGGAGAGAAACTAAAGAGGACTGCACTGCACTCAAAAAACATTCTACTCATAGACTACACTGCGCTCTGGTGCACAGTATAAGTGCATCTCTACTGAAATTGTTTCCTGCCTAATACAAACCCAATTCCAAAAAAGTTGGGACACTGTACAAATTGTGAGTAAAAAAGGAATGGAATAATTTACAAATCTCATAAACTTATATTTTATTCACAATAGAATATAGATAACATATCACATGTTGAAAGTGAGACATTTTGAAATGTCATGCCAAATATTGGCTCATTTTGGATTTCATGACAGCTACACATTCCAAAAAAGTTGGGACAGGTAGCAATAAGAGGCCGGAAAAGGTAAATGTACATATAAGGAACAGCTGGAGGACCAATTTACAACTTATTAGGTCAATTGGCAACATGACTGGGTATAAAAAGAACCTCTCAGAGTGGCAGTGTCTCTCAGAAGTCAAGATGGGCAGAGGATCACCAATTCCCCCAATGCTGCGGCGAAAAATAGTGGAGCAATATCAGAAAGGCGTTTCTCAGAGAAAAATTGCAAAGAGTTTGAAGTTATCATCATCTACAGTGCATAATATCATCCAAAGATTCAGAGAATCTGGAACAATCTCTGTGCGTAAGGGTCAAGGCCGGAAAACCATACTGGATGCCCGTGATCTTCGGGCCCTGCATCACATACAGGAATGTTACTGTAATGGAAATCACAACATGGGCTCAGGAATACTTCCAGAAAACATTGTCGGTGAACACAATCCACCGTGCCATTCGCCGTTGCCGGCTAAAACTCTATAGGTCAAAAAAGAAGCCATATCTAAACATGATCCAGAAGCACAGGCGTTTTCTCTGGGCCAAGGCTCATTTAAAATGGACTGTGGCAAAGTGGAAAACTGTTCTGTGGTCAGACGAATCAAAATTTGAAGTTCTTTTTGGAAAACTGGGACGCCATGTCATCCGGACTAAAGAGGACAAGGACAACCCAAGTTGTTATCACTGACAGCCAATCAGAATCCATCTGACTGTAAAGCGCGCGATAACCTTGTGAGAACAGGGCTGCGTTCAGCCCCGACAAAACGGTGCAAAACGTTTTTTAAATGGAAATGGTGGTGCGTTGAACACCCTGTTCTGATGACGCAAGAGTTGCAGCTATGGAAGCTGAGAAGGCCATTCTTTGTGTTCTTTTTGAAGAATTTTCGGAGCCTGATGAAATCGGTATAAATACATGTTTAATACTGCAAAATACGCTCGATGTTACAGTCACTGCCCTTGCCGTCCAGAATAAAAGAGAACATCCCAATCAAATGAAGGGATTTGTGGAAACTGTGGTTCCTAATTATTGTGATCCAACATTTGCCTCGCATTTCAGGATGAAAAGAAACATTTCAGGTGAAGGATAATCCACTTCTTACCTCCGAGACTGTGTTATGATCTATATGACCTTATTATTTTTATTTGTGAGTATTAGGCTTATCATTATTGCTGATCACTGTTGGCGTGCTATGATATTGTAATATTTACCATTATATAATCAGAGGGGTATAGAAAAGTTTATGAAAGTGTCACTCCACAATACAATAGCAAAATATATAAATATGTATAGTATTTTTATGTTACATTAATCAGTGTCTAGCACATCTTCCTAAGCAAAGGATATGGACCAGAAGACACTGCAATTACTAAATGATATTTAGACAGACTTAAAGAAGTTCCAGATCTATACTTGTGCTCTTATTATTTCAGTTATTTTGCCTTTAATGTAAATAAACATGTGCAAACAATATACTTGCTCTTGTGAATTTATTTGGATGTTAATTACATTGTGCACGCTGTCTCTTTAATACCGCGTGGTTTATATACATGCTGTTGCTGATTGGGCTGACATTTTTGACACACCCACCAAACTAGAGAAAACTATCTCAAACCCCGTTGCACACCGTTTTCAGGAAACATGTCGTTCAAACCGGAAACCGTAGCAAAACGTTGCACACCGGTTTGAGCTTGAACTTGCCCCTGGCTTTTACTCTGCTCATGCGCAGTAGTGTTTTCTCTGCCTCAGAAAAGGCGCGCGATCACATCACATTGTTAGGAAGAAAAAAAAAGGATTTTTGATGTCCAGTATTTTCCCGTTTAAATGTATCAAATAAAGAGGAGCGTCTCAAAATCGTCATCGGCGTTGACGAGGTGAAACCGTGCCTGTTGTCAAGCTAATGTGCACTGTAAAAAATAAGTGTAATTTTAACTGTATAATTTTGTAAAAACGCTACGGAAAAAAACTGTTAATAGGTTAACATTAAGTTCCCGTACTATATACAGGGAAAAACTGTAAAATATCTAACCAGACATTTCATGTAATTTTACAGTAAAATGCTGTTAATTTGAGAGTTTTTAGAAGTGAAAATAACGAATCAATGTATAATTTACAGTCAAAAACTGTAAACTGATATTCCCAGAATTCCCTGCATGACACTCCACATTTGAAAGTATTTTGTTTAAATAATCATGTTTTTTAAAAAGTTTTTGTTATTAGTTATGTATATTTGGGCTTTGTTACATCTTCTGTTGTTTAATGATAGTTGAATGCATTATTTAAGTATCATGTGTGTTACCATGATGGTGTTTAGTGTTTGCATGAATGACTCTGTGCACCTTCTATATATTAGCATATGCTTCTGCTTGTGCCGAAGCTACTTGTGATGAGCTTTGATTCTTCATGTGGCTTTCTCTTTTACCACCTGCATTATTATGGTGGTTGTCAGTATGTTAAAGGTACAAAACAGATTTTAATAGCAGTGTGCATTGTTGAATTTACTGGTTTACATTACAATTTTCTTGTTTGTAAATTACAGTTTTATACTGTAGGCCCTAAATGTGTTTACAGTTTTCTGTATTTCTGTATTTTTTTACAAAATTATTCTGGCAACCACAGCTGCCAAAATTATTTTGTAAAAACTACAGAATTTTTTTTACAGTGTAGGCTACAGAACAAAACCATCAACATATGAAAATGTAACGAATTCATGTATTTCTAATGTCAGACATCGATAGAACATCACCAAAAACATACATGTATAAACTTTATTTAAATCTTAAAATACACCAATATATTAAACATGCATGCAATTATAATGGCAAAGCATCAAACATGTTTTATGAAACATGAAAAAGAGACACAAAAGAGTGACTAAGACACGTAACACCGAGATTGCAATTCATGGAAAATTACGCAAATCTTTGGAAACATTACAAAACATGCTATTAACAGAAAGAGTTTCGACAGGCGTTTAAATGCAGCTAGTTGAGGTTGTAACTTCCCCACACAGACGCACCAATCACTAACCACAGTCTTAAAAACATCTAGGTACAATGATGTAAATAACCACCATGGACATTCTTAGTTTGTGGTAATGGTACGTACTTCCTATTCAACTACTAACAGGGAGAAATGTCATGTGTCTTGACATGCATTTACATCACTATTCTAAACATCTGATTCAAAGCTGCAGTATATTTACACTCAGCTGATTGAGTGCAGCTTCAGTTTCAATCCGTGTGACAGGTCCTGGATCATTTGATTCTGCTGTAAATCACTGATTTACCCACCATCGCATCGAATCTGTGGAACAACACAATCAAATATGAAGTGTGGATGACCATTTAAGATCCACCGCAAGTAATGCAGGAGCCGATCAAAGGTCAGTCAATTCTGACGTAATTAGTACGTTTCAAAATAAAAAGAAAATGTGACTCAAACCAATTTTGTTTCTCACCTCGCAGCAGGATCAGGATGGTGCACTCTCAGATTCTCGTTGCTCTCATTGTTTCGGATGTGTTGGAAGGTTGCGTACACTATCTTTTTGGCTTTTCCCGGGGTCTGATCTGCGCTGGGTCTCTTGGGTGAAACTGTAGCATACAGACCATCATCACAGTGGTTCCTCTCAGAGCTGGAAGGCTGTTCAACCTGGAGAAAGAAGCCAACACCTTTCAGAAAAGTGAAGTGTAGAAGTAAAATCACCTGCATGAGATGCATGTCCCTTTAGCTCATTTTCACTGATTTCTCATTCTTTCAGATTCAGATCCAAAGAATAAAAAAAAAACATTTTATAAAACACGACATAACGAAGTTGTGATTTCAGGAACAGAGATATTTCTGTGTTCTGACCTGCTTCTGTCTGACGTCTGCAACTCCACTTTTTGCCTTCCTGTAGTGCAGAGATAAGCATGTAAACACAAACACACATTCATAATTATTAATGAGTACACCATCGCGCATTATTAAAGATGTCACCTTATGAACATGATGATGCAGATAAGAAATAAAAGTCCACATCCGACTGCGATCGCAACAGCTGCGTACAGGACTGTTTTATCTCCTCCTGAAAAAGAATGAAAACTACAGTATGATCTTATGTATATACAAATAGCAATATATGCAGCATTTATTAGATGCAGAAATCAGAAAATGTTCGATGGTGACTAAAAATATAATATGCCAGCCAGTGTATTCTGGCAGGTCTTTGGCTGACAAAATAAATTGTATGAAAATGTGCAATTTTTATACACTTGAATTAAATTAATGTCTTATTTAAATGTCAGTTCATTGGTAGACTAGCTTGATAAATATTAATTGGAAGCAATTTGTAAGAATGGAAAGTCCAGTGATTTTACCTTGCAACGTCAATACAGCCTGAGTAATATCAATGAGCTAAGCTTTCATCATATCATCTGTCACATCCAGCACTTCTGCAAACCACACCTTCAAAACTTTCATTCATTCATCCATCCATCCATTTATAATTTTTCAAACACATGCTCAGCAGAAATATTGAACCGCTCTACCTTTAACAGTGACAGCAACAGCGTCTGATCTCTGAGATCCGTGTTGATTGTGAGCCTCACAGTAGAAGCGTCCACTCTGTAGTGCACTGAAACTCTGTCCAGATCCAACAGCTGAGCTTTGATTCTCCTTAAACCAGATGTTTTCTGCAGGTGGGTTTGAATCACTGCTGCAGCTCAGAGTCACTGAATCTTCTTTTTCACCAGTTGGACTGATGGACACTGAGACATTCTTTGGAGAGTCTAAAAAAGATCAATAAACCATAAATTTGAGACTACAGTTTGTTTAGAAAACATAGTGTCGTCATCATCATCATCATCATCAACAACTTAGGATACAATATATATTTCACACCATTGCATTTTGGTTGCTGTTAAGTTTCACAGTGGAAACTAATGATAAAAACTTAAGTTACGTATATGTCTGATAGAAGCTTAAGCTTTATGTTTGTATTATCCCATGGCCTACACCTGACAAACAATGAAAAAAAGTTACCACTGTGCCAGCTACAAAATTCTGTACATGCAAATTTGTCTCAATTAAGCAAACACAACATATAATTATTATACCTGGTAATACAAAGAATATCTTAAAACACAGAACAAGGAAATTGGAAGAAGGCTGGGTTTAACCTCAACAATATGTTTTCAGAGTTGTCTTTTAAAAACTCTATACATGTGATGTGATACTGACATCAAACTGAAACTGAAATGTAATTTGTTTCATGAAAATCTGTTGGTCCGTTACATGTGCACAGCTCTACGTGTGCATGCAGCAATTCACTCTGACTTGTCCACTGTTTTGAGAAATCAAGATTGATCCAAAAAAAACTGCTCATAGAAAATTATGTAATTTCTTCTTTGAGTTGAATTTCTCCCATGTTGAATATTCTGTTCTGTTCCGTTTGTCGCAATAACATCTTTAGCTCATTTTCACTGATTTCTCATTCTTTCAGATTCAGATCCAAAGAATAAAAAAAAACATATTTTATAAAACACGACATAACGAAGTTGTGATTTCAGGAACAGAGATATTTCTGTGTTCTGACCTGCTTCTGTCTGACGTCTGCAACGCCACTTGTTGCCTTCCTGTAGTGCAGAGATAAGCATGTAAACACAAACACACATTCATAATTATTAATGAGTACACCATCGCGCATTATTAAAGATGTCACCTTATGAACATGATGATGCAGATAAGAAATAAAAGTCCACATCCGACTGCGATCGCAACAGCTGCGTACAGGACTGTTTTATCTCCTGAAAAAGAATGAAAACTACAGTATGATCTTATGTATATACAAATAGCAATATATGCAGCATTTATTAGATGCAGAAATCAGAAAATGTTCGATGGTGAATAAAATATAATATGCCAGCCAGTGTATTCTGGCAGGTCTTTGGCTGACAAAATAAATTGTATGAAAATGTGCAATTTTTATACACTTGAATTAAATTAATGTCTTATTTAAATTTCAGTTCATTGGTAGACTTGATAAACAATTTGTAAGAATGGAAAGTCCAGTGATTTGACCTTGCAACGTCAATACAGCCTGAGTAATATCAATGAGCTAAGCTTTCATCATATCATCTGTCACATCCAGCACTTCTGCAAACCACACCTTCAAAACTTTCATTCATTCATCCATCCATCCATTTATAATTTTTCAAACACATGCTCAGCAGAAATATTTAACTGCTCTACCTTTAACAGTGACAGTAACAGCATCTGATCTCTGAGATCCGTGTTGATTGTGAGCCTCACAGTAGAAGCGTCCACTCTGTAGTGCACTGAAACTCTGTCCAGATCCAACAGCTGAGCTTTGATTCTCCTTAAACCAGATGTTTTCTGCAGGTGGGTTTGAATCACTGCTGCAGCTCAGAGTCACTGAATCTTCTTTTTCACCAGTTGGACTGATGGACACTGAGACATTCTTTGGAGAGTCTAAAAAAGATCAATAAACCATAAATTTGAGACTACAGTTTGTTTAGAAAACATAGTGTCGTCATCATCATCATCATCATCATCATCAACAACTTAGGATACAAAATTATTTCACACCATTGCATTTTGGTTGCTGTTAAGTTTCACAGTGGAAACTAATGATAAAAACTTAAGTTACGTATATGTCTGATAGAAGCTCAAGCTTTATGTTTGTATTATCCCATGGCCTACACCTGACAAACAATGAAAAAAAGTTACCACTGTGCCAGCTACAAAATTCTGTACATGCAAATTTGTCTCAATTAAGCAAACACAACATATAATTATTATACCTGGTAATACCAGCTGATTTCTGCAGGTGGGTTTGAATCACTGCTGCAGCTCAGAGTCACTGAATCTCCCTCCACTATTTCACCAGACGGACTGATGGACACTGAGGTGTTCTTTGGAGGATCTAACACAGAAAAACATTGATGTCATTAAGTATTATAATAAATGTAACATCATAGAGCATGTTTAGAGGATTTAAAGTCACAGTTACTGAACCATCATTAACTCACACGTAATGTTTAAAGTCACAGCATCAGAGTATTTCTCTCCAAGTTTATTTCTGGACTTGCACTTGTATTCTTCACTGTGATCAGAGCTGATGTTTGAGATGTTGTAGATTCTTCCAGATCCTACAAGCGTTCCTCCTTTAAACCAGCTGATTTCTGCAGGTGGGTTTGAATCACTGCTGCAGGTCAGAGCCACTGAATCTCCCTCCACTATTTCACAACATGGACTGATGGACAATAAGACGTTCTTTGGTGGGTCTAAAGAGGACAAAAGTTTTTTTTTTCTTTTCCCCAGACATTAACTCAACAATTAATATACTAATGAATCTGCACTCACACATGACACTGAGATGAACAGCAGGAGAGATGTAAGTGTGTTCATGTTGAGCACAGCTGTATCTGCCTGCATCCTCTCTTCTGACTGACTGCAGCAGGAGTTGATTGTTTCTGTCTCTTCTCTCAGTTAATGGCTGTGAGTTTCTGTACCAGATGAATGTTGCTCTGTCAGTCAGAGTGCAGCTGCTTTTACATGTCAGACGCACTGAATCTCCCTCTGTCACTCTCTCAGGAGCCTCCACCTGAAGATCTGAACACAACACACACATTATATCTAGTGCTGCTGTCATACACTGATTATTACTCAACATAATGCACAGAAGAAGAGAGAAACCTCATGAAAGTCACCTGTCACAGTAAGAGTCAATCCTTGTTTGCCAAGCCATTTCACATTATCTTTATCAGTGATGAATCTGAAATAGTACTTGTGTGAATCCTTCTGTGTCACATGACTCAGTCTGATGGTGCAG